GGTTTTAGAGTGGAAGCCAGTTAATGACCTGCGTATTGCCGTTTGAGAGTCCCACAAGAAAACGTTACAGTTGATGCCAGCAGGTATAGTTTGGTGTTCCTGGCAGAGGTCAAAGAACTGGATGGAGTTTTGGATTATCCACAGATGCTTTGGTTATATACGTAAACCTCTGAAGAGGATAGTGGTTGTGTGGGTTGTGTAGAACACCAGCTATATGGCTTAGGTGTAGAGGTCTGCAAGGCAGCATCTTGCCCAAGCACAGATCCAAAACATGTTGCTGCTGTCTCCTTTGCTTTCATATGCTTGAACTGGTTTGTTAGCAAAGAACTCCAGATACTTGCTGTGACCCGCATTCAGGGCTCTGCTTCTGAATATCTACAGCCACAGACTTGCTTAAGCTGCTGTCAGTACCCTGAAATCTTAATTTATACTTGGTGCAGACAAAGGTACATGTTTCCTTGGCTTCCAGCTGTTAGCTATAAGTCAGCACAGCTTTTACTGATGACCTGGAGACTGTAAGTATTTGAGTCCTGTCAGAAATCAGTTGACTCTGTTCAGCTCTAGTGTGGCATCGCAGTTCATTCCTGGGAGAGGTGGTGTGAGTGAATAGCTCAAAACTGGCTCTACGAGGTTAGATTTTTGGGTTTGCTACCAATTTGAAAGGAAAATCTATCATAGTTTATATGCTGTCCAGCATGATGGTCAAAGCATGGTCCCTTGGGTATTCCCCCATTTATTCTGACTTTTTCTTTCCCTGTGTGATTGTTTACTGCTATTAAAATGCTGTGCTTTCTGACTTCCCTAAAGTTTAATGGAGCATCTGCTGAAGAATTAAAGGTTAGAGCTGTGTGGTGGTTATTGAGGCATCAGTTTCTCCATGTCACATCCATGTCACATCATCATACTCTAGTTGCTTCCTTTGCAAAACTCCTTAATGCTCCCTCTGAAACAGTCAGGGAGGATCCCCGTGATTTACATTGTTCTCCCCAAGGGCTGTTCCTTCTCCAGGGTAAGGATGGGGAAGCGTGGGAGCCGATTTCCCAGCAGCAGCACAGTGTGCTGTCAACATAACGCTGCAGCATACACCTATTTACTTGTGCCCCTCCGTGACCCCAACGTTCAGCACTGTGATAAGCCTTCCCTCCTGTCTCAGCAGGGTTTATTTTGTGTGGCCCCAGGAGTGTGACAGCTGTTTGACAGAAGAAAAAGGTGATGATACCAACCCTTAAGTTGTCCTAGGTTTCTGGCACTTGCTTTCATCATCCCAAATCTTTCACCAGTGGAGGCAAACAGCTGGTAGTTGGGGTGTTTGGTTTATTTCTGCAGTGTAGCAGGGCAGAGAGACTGGGAAGAGAAATAGGCTTGGGATAACGTAGTGGTGGCTCGTGTCAGTATGTGTTTAAAATGTGGTCTATCTTTTGTGGAAGGACTTTGAAGACTTTTCTAGCAAGCAGGTCTGCTGTTTAGAGCCTATTTTTTCATGTGAGCTGGATTCTCTGTCTCTTTTTCAAATCAAAGTGATGCAATACCAGGATCTTCTAGTCCTGGAATTTCGCCTTGAGCTTTGGCCCTCTCCACCCCAAAGACACCAAAGAGACTAATACAATTTTTTTTTCTTCCCAGTCCCTCTGCAGCGATTGCAAGGAAGCCAGCTGGGCTTAACACTATTCAAACATACTGGAGGTTGTGCAGCACAACCAGCTATCAGACCAGGTCTGGCTATCTTAAGAGATTGTTAAAACCTAAAAATGTTCAGAGCTTTCTGATGAAAGCTGCCAGTGACATGAAGGGAGATTAGCTTCTTAATTAATATGCTGGTGGGGAGGCTAGACCACAGTCGTGGCTCCAGTGCTTGCAGTCTTCTTCATGTCCCAAATACCAATGGACAGGTTTTTCTCCCCAGTGATGAGAAAATACACTTTAAATATCCTGACTTTGTAACTAGCTGCCCAAGGGATTCAATCAATTACTTTGTGTTTCACTAAATAGAAAAGTGCTGCAGCGTGTGAACAGGGTCTGTTCATTGAAGAAGCCACTTTGAGGCTGAAAAGTGAAATTTTATTTTTTTGAGCTTTTGACAAAAAACCTCAGCTCTTAAAAGGGGAAAATGGCTGTTACCAACCTGTGCTTTCTTAGTTGCAAGTCAATGACTTGACTGCAAATGCTCCAGTCTGAACAGCAGATGATCCTTCTACCTCTGCTTACCCTGCAGTAATACATGCTAGTCAAGAGATGACAGCCTGATTTCCTTCCCCAAGCACTGCGGAGAACTCTTATACTGGAGAAGAGTTTTATCTACCTTGTATCTAACCATGGAGGAGATAACTATTGTGCTGCTGTCTCCTTTACCCCTTTTGTCTGCTGTGGTAATTTGGAAGGCAAACTAGCAGTGAAGGCTGAGTATTTTCTTCATCTCTCCCTCATCATTCCTATCCTTCCTCCCCTCTCTCCCTCCTGTTGATGTTTTGATGTGCAAAATGCTTTTCACTTCAGAAGCTGCTGTGCTGGGTAGTGGAAAAGAAAACAAACCCCTAGTTATTAGTAGTTGTTACTATTTACTAAAGCTGTATTTTCTGCTATGTCTTCCAGCATACCCTCCTCCACAGCAGGAAATGAGGGGATGCTGGGGAGATCGTAGGCCAGGGGAAAGAGCTTAATTATACAAACAATAGTGTTTATGGGAGTCTTGAGTCATGGAGGCCCCGAACCTTGCAGACCTCTTTGCCCAGGGGCAGAAAATTAAAGCCCATTGGCTCATTCTCAGTTAATGGGAGATGACGTTCCCATCCTTGTGGGCTGGTAGTGATGTGCATCTTGTACATTTAGATGCTGAGGTGCAGCGTGCCTCATTTTAGAAGTATTGAGCCTCAGTAAATGTTTTCCTTTGAACATTGTACTTTGAAACTGCTGAAATCAACTCATCTAAAAGAGAGGTTATAGTGTAGACAGGATCTGGGTAGCTTGGGGTTTAACACCGATAAGCTGGCTGGCTGGACACCATCACCTGGTTAGGGGTGCTTTTTCAAGCTGTTTCTTTGAGCTGTTCCCTCTCCTCTTACCGTAGTGCTGTACGGTGTGATGGTTTGTTTGTCTGGACCTTCAATGTTTATCTTGTCCTCCTACACCCTCGTGTGGTCCCCAAAAGCTGGCTACCCCTATGTAGTGCTTGGAGTTTTGAGTGTCCACCCCCTGTCCACAATTTGGCCCTTTTTTCTGTTTTGGCATCTGACTTGAAGCATTTGCATCTTTACCGCAATCCCACAGACTCTGGTGTCGGTCTGAATTCCCTTTGGTGTCTGTCCTGCAGTTGTTGGCTCAGACACCTGACCACAGGAGAGCTGAACCGAGAGGTGCAGACAGCCCTGGGCTGGAAAGGAGTGTCCGTGGGGTGATGAACGCTGTGAACTGCACACGTGTTTTAGTAGGCAAGTCAAATATTGACTGGTCCTATGTTGAGCCCATGGTGGTTACAGGCATTGTTCCTGGACTCTGGTGATTCCCCATCCTGCCCTTTTCTTTACAGATAAATGGATGATCTTTGTTCAGCCTGGAGTGTTAATTTTCTTCCTTGGCATAAATCATCTTTGATAATTTCTGGGTTGATATGTAAGCCCCATGCTGTACATAAATGAATGAGTGATATGAGGAATATCTACAAATGTAGTTATGTTGTATGTAATGTACATAAGGAGAGAATGTATTTTGTTCATTTTTTTTCTTAATAAAAATGTATATGCTAGCAAGGGTGTTTAAGATCTGTTCGTTCTAACATTGCTTGCTTCTAAGAATGGAAAAATGTCTGTGAAGGTCTTGTAGTGGTGCTGAAATTGTGAATCTGGTGGTGTGTTGTGTCTGGGTGGCAGGCACTGTTCCTGCTGGAGGAGCCTGCCGTGTCCCTCTGCACTGCAGAACAGCTGAGAAAATATCCTGTTCCTTCAAATCAGGGATGGGCTGGGTTGGTATCCCATAAATTCAGCATGTGCTTAGCAGTAGCAAGAACTTTTATTGGGGAGGAACATGGAGTTAAAACATAGGCTGATGCAAACCACTGGTTTTTAATATTTGAATCAAACCAAATTCCTTTTTTTTTTTTTTCTTCTTCCTTTGCATAAGTGGAAACTTAACCTGAAACAAAATGTTTTATTTGGGGCACTTGAAGGCAAATGGAAATGCTGAACTGCTCATGCTGCTGCTCACCCTGCTGTTGCCCTCGTTTGATGGCCCTCCTTCATTAGGGTGTTTTGGCTTAGGGACACGAGGTTTGATTCCCTCCCTCCACAGCCTGACCTAAGTGTGAGGAGGGGTTGCAGGGTAGGAGTGAGTTAGGATGATGTGCAGGAATAAGGGCAAGCTCCCTCTCCCTTCCTTCCATGAGCCTAAAGTAGTTCAAACAGGTGCCCTGGCTGTGGTGGGGCTGCCCTCACCCACATCAACTAAGCATCCCACCCCTCTGAGTCTTCTGGTTTTTGAATTAAGAGAAATTTTCCACCACTGTCTTACTTCCTTCTGCATGGGGAAAAATACAAGTTCTTCTATGGCTGGTTACCTCTGAAGGTCTGGGTTGGTTTTGCTCCTGCTCGTCCGATGTTTTCACAGGATCTTGCTAGCAGGACCATGCAGACCCTGTGGTGCTGGGTTCCCAGATAAGCTCAGACCATTGCCAGTTGTAACATCTACTAAGGGCTAGTTGTGGCTCTTGAGCACAAGCTCTACTTCTCCCACCCCTTTTCACTCAGCCAAGAAAGAAGTCTTTTACATAAGAATGTTTATTGACAGAAATACATGATGCTTTCAAAATATATTTGTAGGAAAATGCAAGAATAATCTCTACAATCCAGTTCCTCAGTAAATTCCAGTGTAAATCAGACTCCTGTCCCCGTGAGAGATGCTGCTATACAGTACGTAAGAGCTCTAGTATATGTGCAAGATTCAATGGGTAGCCACCTTGGGAAATAGGTTCTCCTTCTGCAGTTCTTCGTGGATTATGTGTTCTTCTGTAGGCAACAGTCACAGTATCAACCTCATCAGTTGGGTCATGGCACTGTGAGCAGGAGATAAGTGGTCCTAAAATATTTACACATTCCTCATGAATCTGAAAATAGAAAAGTCTCTTGCAAGGCCATCTGAGCTGCTTGTAAAACTCTCACCAAAAGGTAAGAGCAGTAATCTCTTTGTACAACGTGTCAGATGTTAAAGCTGTTTTGGGTGAGAGAAGAGGAGCGTGGGGAAGGGAGGAGGGGCAGGGAGGGAAGAAATGAATGCCTGGGTAGATTTTTTTTTTTTGTTATTTTTGGTCTAACAATTATGGCTACAGTCTACAAAGGGAAGGATTAAGGCCAAAGATGCTCATCACTGCATTTCCTACCTGATTTTTTTTTTTCCAAAAAGAATGTTCTCAACATAAAAAACGTACTGTTTTTTCCATGGAAATAGTTCTTTAAATAGGGGAAGGAAAATCTACTATAAAATATTAGTGGTTTAAAAATATGGTGTCTGGAAAAATAAATAAATGTACAATTCCTATTCAAATATAAATCACTATAAGCACTTGCTGAGCAGTTAATATCTTCACTGGTCTCTGCTTGGAAAGATTTAAGGTTGCTTATCTCAAGCTTTTGTAGGATTCTCTTGGAAAGTCTTTGGACCCGATTCATTAAAGCACTTTGGCATCTCTTTGCTGGGAAGGGGGATCTTTAGGCACATGCCAAAACCAGACTGCCTGGAGATGCTCTGCCAGGGGCATCCTTACGGCAACACCAGCCCCTGTGGCCAAAGCCTTGCTGCTGCCCCATGTTTTTGCCGCACTTATTTTCTGCAAAGGACAGAAGCGCGAGGTCACCGACCAGCCGCTCATCTCTCAGGGCAACTGGGAAGCAAATGTGCTCACGAAAGCAATTGCAAATGCCAAGACCGGTTCTCTGAGCCTTGCTGCAACGTTAAAGAGCTGAACTTGATGCTGCTGGTGCGGGGACAAAGCCATGGTGTGGGGTTATCTGGGCGGGAGGTGTTTTCCTGCTTCGTGTTGAATTTTGATCCCTTACCAGAGTGGCCTTTAGATTTCAATTTTTCTTTTTTTTTTTCTTTTTTTAATTCCCTCCAAAATTATTTCCCCATAGTGCAGTGCACGGGTAAGTGAAGTGTGCTGAGTACGTTGCTAATGAATAGCAGGCATATTTACATACAAAAATATATAGGTTTGAACACTTGAAACTCTGCCCTTTGGTGCAGGAGAGAAGGGAGAAGAGCCAATTCCTTTGAGGAGACGTATCTTCTGCCAGCTTCTGTCCTGGGGCTGAGCAGACCACCCCAACCCTCTCCTTTGTAAGTACTTCCAAGGTCTGACTCGACTTGGGTTTCTCCAAGCTTTCCATCACTCGACTCCACTTTTCCCCTTGTTCAGGGCAGCTGTGGGAGCGCATCCCCATCGTGTTGACTTGGTGGCAGAGCCCGAAGGAAATCACCCCATGGTGCGTTGGTGAATGCACGGTTTATGGCAAGCAGGGGACAAGGGCCGTGCTTAGGCATTGCTCTTCCATCTGCAGCTCCTCTGGGTTGCAGAGGGCTTGGGACCACCTCCGTCCTCATGTGTTGGGAGATGCACTCGCCCAAGTGTCGTTCTGGTTCTCTCCTCTCTTTCCCATGTGCTGGAGGATGGAGCCCCACTCTGATCCCTGCCTCTGCCAGGGCTGAACTGCTTCACCAAAGCCAGAGCAAAGGTGTGAAACTGTCCCCATCCTTTTAGAGCCATTTGGGAGCTGTGATCAGGAGTGGAAAACCAGAGATGGCCCTCAGTCCAGCCGCTTTCTGCTCCTGCATATTTTTCTTTTCTCCTCTAAAGACTTATGGCAAAGGGAGACCTGGACAAGAGACCAAGGGCTGCAGGACAAAGCTCAGTCCCAGCTTTGCTGCTGTGCCGAAAGGTTTTTTTGCTGTTACTTTACTGGCTTTTGAAGAAGAGCTTGAATGTGGACTGAGCTTATAAACCTCGTGCGGAGGAGACACCAAGGGCTGTACCGATGGGAAAACCCTGAATACCACCAAGCTACCTGGCTCGTGCTTCTGTTGCTCTTTTACCACTTCTGCTGCTCACGCAGGAAAAAGTGACCACAAAAATCACAAACCATCACGGTGTACGTAACCCACGGTCTCAGGAGAGGATGGATGTGGGCCGTGAGATGCTGCTGCATAATTACTGGAAGGCAATCAACGCTTCTGTAGGGAAATGCAGCGGCAGCGCTGGTCTGCGCTGGAGCTGGGCTCCTGCACCACGAAACCCCCAACCTCGTGCCTGGGCTAGCGACCAGGCATTGCTCTTGGTCTCATTACACTTCTCCTAGGAGGGATGAACTCAAGGAATTGCTCCCTTTTCCTCTCCCTCCCTTTTGCATCAATACAAGAAGCTGCTGTGCCTCTCCTGATCTCCAGCCGGGTGCAGGATCTGTGCCGCAGCCCTTTGCGGTGCAGCTGTGGGTGGTGCGGGACTGAGCATCACTTCGCACTGCTGCATCCCTCCCATCCAGCCAGGTCTGGATGCGTTCATTTGCCTACGGCACAATGCGGGGCTCTTGTGCGTTTCAGCCAGCAGTTTATGGGGAGAGGATGGAAACTGGATTAAAAAGGAACAGGCTGTTCCAGCTTTTTCTGCTCGATACCTGGGCGTTTCATGTCGGGGAGGGCAGAGTGATGACTAAACCGCGTGGGCCAGAGGATTTTTCTAGCTCTAACTGCCAGGTGCCAGTTTGCTGTCGGGAGTTGTGCTCCCTCTCCCATCCTATTTACATTTATTTCTTTTTATTTTTGAGTTGCTCAGTAGCTGGAGGATGCAGTTGGCGTGGTCAGAGGCGGGACGGGAGGGGACGTGCTCAGAGGAGACACCAGCAGCTCTTCGGGAGCAAAGCCACCCTGTTTGCCCACGGCTGGTGTGGTAGGTCCTGCTGAGCACCTGCGGGTGACGGAGGATGCTTGTCTGGATGCGGCCACCATGGTGGCTTGTGTTGACGATGCGCCCTGGAGGTGTCGTCTTGTGTCCATTCCTCTTCCATCCTGCACCCCACGTGGTGACACAAGGGGCCATAATTAGTTCATTAAGGGATTTTCTGGGGTTTGTTGGGAATTTTGCCTTGTTTTGGAGTTGTGTGGGTGTAGGGATTATGGGAGGGTTTTTTGGGGGGTGATGGTGGTTGTTTTTTGCTTGATTTAGTTCTGTATCCTATAAATGTGTGTCCTCCTCTTCCTCCAGGTCCTCCTTCATGAGGGTGTCGAGAGGAACGATCCAGCTGTCCCCCAGCTCGCCGTTGAGGTTCACTTTCTTTTCCTGCATTTCAGAGGAGGTCTCCATCACCTCCAGCGTGGGATTATCGTGGTAGCCGTTCTCCATCGTCTGCAGCTCCTCGGTCAGGCGCTGCTGCGAGGAAAGAAAACCCAGAAACCTCAGTGAAAAACAGCTTGGCCAGGTTGTGCATGCCACCTGGGGGCTGTCACCTCCCAGCCAGCCGTGGCTGCTGTCTTGTATAGATGTATATACAGAGACTTTGACGGTGAGGTTGAGGCTGGGGGCTGCAGTCAGCACCAGCGCAGCGAGGGGATAGCATGGAGCTGGCAAGAGAGAGGCTCTGCTAATGGTGGTAGGGAGGAAAGAGCAGCCAGAGACATGTGGAAAACCTCCAGGAGCAGCTGCCAGCTTCAGCCCAGCTGCAGCTTGGTCCCCTCAGGACCTTGGGAAAAGACTGAGCATCGCTGCCTCGCCCTGACCCTGCATCCAAACTCCTGCCTCCCTAACTCAAATCCATTCTTCCTCTCCCCTTTCTGCCCCCCTGTCCCTTTTTAGCTGCTTTATTATTATTCTATCCATTGACCTGGGGGCAGCTCCCACCCTGCAGATGCTGCTGGTCCATTTGCCTTCCTCAATCTCGAGCTCTTGGTTAAAACGAGGCAGGGAAAGATGAATCGGGTACTGTATCACCCCGGTCCTTTGGTATGCTGTGCTCCAGGCTCTGACCCAGCCCCTCATCCCCTGGCAGACCCCTAGTCCATCCTAATTTTGCATTCATCCCTGTCTTGCCCTGGAGGGATTCACCGGGGAACTGCAGTCCTTGGTCATCCCTTTTCGGGGAGCGCAGGGCTCTCAGTGGGCACCCCTGTTAAAATCTGCCTGTGTTTACAGCTTGATCTATTACAGTGCTCCTAAGAAGTGTCAGGAGACGGCCATGGGAGGGAATCCACGGAGAAGGAAAGGGATGGAGAAGCAAAACTGCAGGGCTTGGCGCTAGCAGGGGGGGCTGCGAAGGCACTGCTGGGGGTCCCCTGGCTCGCACGTGGCGGTGGGGCAGGAATCTGGGCAGGGATGGCGGGATGCTCGAAAGCAGAGGAGGCACCTGGGCTCTTGCAGGGGCTGTCTCACCCTGTGGGGTTGCTGGTACAATCCTCAGGTGGATGGATGCTCAGGCAGCGCTTTCTCCCGCCATGGCAAGGCTCACCACCCCCCCCGCCGTGCAGCAAGGGGAAGGGGTCTTTAAAGCTGGGCTTTAGTAGGCTTTAGTCCTGTTAAAAGCTACTGAACCCTACCAAGCACCAGGGGTGAGAGTTGGGGGTGTTACGGATGCGGCGCCCGCCCCTCCGATCCCTATGTTGGAACTCACGTTAAAGATCAGGGCCACATGTCCATCATCAAACCCGGGGAGATCAGGGTGGATGTGCTGGTTATTTCCAAGGTAAAACAACAGCAGGGTTTAAAAGGGCGGGGAGGGAGGGTTGGAGAAAAATAAAAATAAAAAAAACTTTCAAGTCATTTTTGGAAAAGAAGCAGGAGGAAAACAAAAGAAATAACCCAAAAACAAATCCAGAAAGGAGAAATGTGTTTGATTTTCTAAAAACCTACTGCAACTGCTTGGAAAAAGATCTTTTCCCATGCTCTGAGCAAGAGCCATACCGAGAAACTGGCATCCCTTGCTTTGGTTTTGCTGCCTTCCCCTGGGGCGGGTAGGTATTTACCTCCAGAGCATTCAGCCAGAGCTGTTCCTCTGCACCATGTAACTTGAGGGACATGCGTTCCTGTTGCTAAAAATACCCTATTTCTACCTGTTTTCTGAACAATACGGGACAAGAATGTTAACGCTGCTCCCTGTCCCTGCTGGGATGTTTTTCACCCCCACCAGGGAGATTTCAGCAGAGGGATGGCCCAGCTGTGAAACCCTGTAAGCTCCAAGGGCACCACAGTGGAGGTCAAATATCTGTCAAGGTCTTGCGTCCTCCCCCCTTCCCTCCTGAAAAATCAAGCCTTGGAAAAACAAGTCTGACGCCGGCATTGGTTTGCCCTTCCCTGCCTCCTGTGTTCATCGCTGTTAGACTGCAAATATTTAAAGCAAAGGCTGCCTTCTCCCTTGCCTTGGCGCAGCTCCTGGCACGTGGGACAGAGATTGGGACCCCCTGGGAAGGTTGAGCTGGTTTGGAGGGAAAACGATTTGTGTAGGATGCAGGGGTTTGCTTCTCCATCGGGAGGGTGGTTTACCCTAATTGCATCATTTAGTTTTTGGTTTTGGGTTTTTTTTTCCCCCCCTTTCTGCTACTGTCTCTCCTCTGGAGCTAAATCCTCAGCAACAGCAGCAGGGACCGATGGAAACCTCGAGCCCGTGGCAGAGCTCTCCCTGCCGGGGCCGCAGGGCGTGGGAACAGCCAGTCCTTGCAGGTGGATGCTACACTAAAATCACCCAGAATTGCTTCCTGAGATAAAAATGATATTAATTTAAATTTTTTTTTTCCCATGTCTGTTCTTCCTTAAAATCCTGCTGCTGCTCTGAAATTTGGCCCTGGCCCAGCTCTCCTAAAGGCTGAGCCGTACAGCATTGATGCCCTCCTGTGGCTGTCCTCCTGCTGTCCTCCCACCTTGCAAACAGCTACGGGCTCCCCATAGCCCCTGGCACCCCTGGAAAGGCATCGGGGTGATGCTGGGCACCTAACCCTGCTCCCCTACACATAAAAGTATTTGAGAATTTTTTTTTTTGGGGGGGGAGGGGGGTTTTGGGTTGAGAAAGCCTTTTTAAACCTAAGGATGCTGGTCACCTGCCTGGTGCCCTGGGTGGCAGCAGGGATGGGTTCTCCTCCACCCCCTCCCCCCCCCCCCAGCCCCTCATTTCCCTGGTTTTAATCCTGGCTGCCCCCCTCCCCAACCCTCCCAAAGGGGCAGCTCCTGCCCCTCCAGAGCCCCCACCTCTGTTGGGCACCCCTTGAGTAACAGGCAAGGGTGATGCCCATTGGGCAAGCCAGGATGTCTCCACCAGCGGAGACGGCAATGTTGATGATCTTCATCTCCTGAAGATGCCTCTGGGACAAAAAGGTCTCGGGGTACCTGTCCCACCCACCCCCTCCCATCTTACCTGGTCCTTCTTTTGGGAAAAGCGTTGGTGGCAGCAGCCGTAGATGGCCGCGATCAGCAGCAGGGAGCCAGCCAGGGTGATGATGGTGATGATCAGGGGTGTGCTGAACTCATCGTTGATTATCATCTCCCTCTCCATTTTGCCATAGGTGATGTTGGCGATGCCCAGCTGCCATAGAAAGAATGGGTCAGGCCCCGAGGCGGGGGGCTTCGTGGGCCACCCACCTTGGGGGACATCCGCAGGGAAGCTACGCTGTGCCCAGGGACCCACTTACCTCCTCTAACTTATCCTTCTCCTGCAGCTCCTCGAGGACTTTTTCGGGGTCCAAAGGGACTGGGGGAAGAAAGAGGCTGCAATGAGCATGAGGTGGGGGGGCAGGTTGTGCCACCACCTCCCGGTCAATGGTGTGACCCCCTTTCTGGAGGAGGTGGATGGAGGTACATGGCGTGAAGCCAACCCTGGCAGGTGCCTCCACAGCCAGACAAGGAGCCAGGACCTCTTCTCCTGGAAGGGGGACAGCCCCAGAGACCCGGGGCGCTGGATTTTAACCACTTGGGAGGAATTTTCCCTCCTGGATGCTGGTCCCTGCCTTGCCTCATCATGGATGGGAGAGGGTTCTGGTGCCTTCACTGGGGAGCAAAGCTCAGTTCTGGGGTCATTGTGCCTCTCCCGAGCCATTCAGATGGGGCAGCCCAAGGAAAGGAGCCCCTTGGCCAAGCCTCAAGCTCCATCCTCATGCCAGGGTCCCCGACGCCATTCCCATCCTGTTCCCCTCCGGGATGGATGGTGGGATCATACTCACGGTGCAAGACCGCCCGCACGGCCCAGTGCTGGGAGTGGGGCTCACGGGAGGTCAGCATCACCGTGCACGTTTCCCTGCTGGCGTTGAAAGCGTGCTGGCCCGTCGAGCAGAAGCTCTCGAAGAAGGAGATGTTGATGCTGGCGGTCCTCCACTCAGCCTGCAGGGACAGCAAGGGCTCAGTCCTGTCCCCGAAACCGGGGACTGCCGAGGAGCATCCTGCCCCATCGCCAGGGATGCTGTGGCCATCCCCGTCCTCCCCCATCCCTTTGCACCGCCGGACCGCCGCCAGCCCTCCCAGGCAACAGGAAAAGTTTAAAAGTCGTTTCTTTATGAGAAGCTGAGCTCTTGGCTGCCGTTCCTCACCGGGGCCCTGCGCCGGCCTTATCTGAGAGCCGCAGCTTTTGGCGTTACAGGAATAGCAGGTCCCCGAGGGAAGCGGGGTGGGGGGGGGCGGGGGGAGGCTGAGGGGCCACGGGGGGAGCGGGACAGGGCTGTGCATCCCCCCTGTCCCTCCACCAGCAACTGCGACCCTCCCATCACCTGCATTTCTACCCTCTGTCCCTACCAACACGGGTCCCCGTCCTCCCTAGAGCTTCCCCACGGCTCTGTAGAGGCAAGACAAAGCATTTTGCTTTCGGATAAACTGCAGCATCCCTGGAGGGTTTAGCCTGGATGGTGCCGGAGGGATGGTGGAGGGGTGGATGAAGCCCGCATCCCCTCTGAGATGTTCTTGAGGCTTTTTGCATCTGCTCGATGCTTCGTAGCAGCCGGGAGCTCACTAAGGTAGAGATGATCGCTCTCCTGCATGCACAGGTCCTATATGCGAAGATGCTATATATACCGCTCCTGTGCGCACAGGTCGTGCGTGCACAAGCCCTTTGTGCACAAGGTCTTGCCCGCGTGGGTCCTGTGTGCAGAAGTCCTCCGCGCACGCCGAAACCAGGCAAAACGTGCCTTGGCTGGGAAAAGCTCTGCTCCTGCCTGCTCCAACACCCCAAACTTTCCCCTCCCTCTGCAACACCATCCACACGGGGTCCCGCTCATCACCGATGGCCGGCAGCATCGCGCTTGCTCCGCCGTAAGGGTGGGAGCCGCCCGGCCGAGGAAGGCACCTAATCTCACCCCATCTTATCTAAATATTTGGGAAGCGGCGGTGGAGACAGGATGCACTTGCCGGGGGCGGAAGACCGGTCCTGGCCCCAGTGCGAGGGAGAGCTCAGCATCGTGAGGCCCTGGCCGTCCCTGGGAACCGCCGCTGGCCCTCGCCTGTCCTTTCGCTTTGCACGGGGAGAAACTTCCCCCAGGTCCCTCTGTTGAGTCCGCAGCATCCCGGCTGCACCCCTGGGAAAAGAGCTGGATGGGAAACCTGCCCCCAGCCCTGTGCCAGGGCAGCCCACGGGCAGCAAGGTGAGACCTTGGCAAGGCAGCATCCCCCAGAAAGCTCGTCCCCAGTGGGATGGAGGAGAGGGTTACGGCTTGGTTGGGGCGGTGTTCTTATCATCTTTGGACGCTGGGTTGTGCTCCTACGCTTTAAATGTCCTGCAGTTTATCAGTCTCTGCCTGTGCAGCATTTTCTGCTCAGCAGAGGCGTGAAAAGCCTCTCTGCTGCCTCCTTCCCCAGGTTTTGCTGCAGCTCTGCCTTCCCTCAGCCCTTAATAACCCATTTCTCCTGCTACTGCCCCACGGGGGAAAAAGAAAAGACCTTTAAAATGCTTTTTTTCTTGGTGGGAATGGAAATCAGACGCAAGGCTAAAACCCAGCTAAGCACCGAACCGCTTTGCTGCTGGACGCTGAACAGTTCCTAAGCCACTTTAGAGGCTGAACTGGAGGGATTTACCCTTTCCAGGGCTGGAAAGGGGCACGGTAAGGCCCGCTGTAGCCGGCAGGGATGCCCCGGCGGCGGTGCCGTGGCCCCGGCAGCTTTCCCCTCCCGCTGCCGGAGTTGCTCGCATTCCTTGGCCGGAGTTGACAGGCACTGCCGAGCAGCTCGAATCCGGTTCCCACACTGGCGGGGACCTAAAACTAACATCCCCGAATGAGGTAACAGCACTTGAGTCAACAAACCACCTCCGCCAGCTGGACAGGGCGAGGGGGACCACGACCCCGCTCAGCGAGGGGGTCCCTCCGCCTGCTCCAGGGACCGTCCTGCTGTCCCCACGCTGGTGGGTGTCACACAGCAAATTCCCTTGGGCGCCTGGGTGCGGGTCCGGGTGGCCCCACGGTTGATTTTGCATCCCCTGCCTGGAGCAGGCTCTGGTGCTTCCCGGCATCCTCCAGCTCAGCTCCCTGGGCACGTCCGTGTCCTGGTTGGGGACACGATGGAGGAGCCGTGCTGGTCCCCTGGGAGGTGGCCACAGGGTTGTGTGGCTCAACCAGAGCTTGGGAGACACCAGCCACCTCTGACACGGTTACCTCTTGCTTCATCTAATGCGTTTTGGGGTTGAGATGAGGAACAGAGCAGCCATCCATCCATCCATCTACCCACCAACCCATCCCAAGGCTGGAGCATGCCAAGCAGCCAACGAAAACCCAGCTGAAGATATACTTGTGAGCTGGACCTTGGGAAAGTCATCCTATGGAATGCAAGGTACCAAGCTAATAAGCCTTGTTAAGAAATTCATTAAGATCCTTCTGTGATCTAAGGAAGGAGAAGGGGCAAAAAGGAGGGTGGGGGAACATGGACCAAACTGTTCAGTGCTGGTGAAAAGCATCACCTGAAGAGGAAGGATACTGGGAACCAACCAGCCCATAAAATACTTTTGGTCCACAAAGTGGTACCAACCATGTATTTGGCTTTTTTGTTTAGGATTTACAGTTTGAGGTTTGGGGTTTTTTTTTAAATTTTTTTTAAATTTACTTCAGCTGGAGAAACTGAGGCGCAGCAGGGTGCAATGCCTGCGATCCCTGGGTTCAGTCCCAGCTGTTTTGCTGGGGTCCCTGCATCACCAGTGCTGCCCCACGAGCCCAGCCGTGCGTGGGGTGGGCTAGTCTGCATTGCCCTCTCCCCTGCCATGTGTGACCTGGACACGTCCCCCACCACCGGGCCCCCACGTTGGCCTCGATGCTTCCCCAGCTTCTCTCTGGAGCTGAGCTTTTAGCACAATGCTGCCCCGACTCTGGCTCATTCTTGTGGACCAGGATTGGAGCCATTTCTGGAACACTTCTTATAGCGTGCACTTTCCTGTTTTCCCACGGGCTGTGAAATGCAAAGGATTTTTTCACTTTGCTGTCAAGATTTGGCTACAGACTTGTTTACTGGGCCTACAAAGCAGGGAAACCAGATAGTGCCATTTCTCTGTTATCTGCTGGGCTTGGGAGGCATAAAAGTTGTTGCAATTTTCAGGAATACACCGAGTGGAAAGTTAACGGCAAGTGGGTGGGAGGCGTTTTGGCAGCCAAGGAGATGGATGCTATGGGAGGATGCACCCTTGCAGTCTTTCTACAGCTGTTTCAAGGCGTAATTGGTATTTTGTACTAACAATGCTTCGGCTCGTTATTATGCCCAGAGGAATCTAAGGGAAACAGGGTGGCAGACTTGCTGGCTCGCCAGCTCCAGCACGCCATTGCCCAGCGGAGCAGGCAGAGAGGAGCGATGGATGATGCCAAGCCGTGATGTCTGCCCACCCCTTAGCTCGCCAGTGCATCACTGCGCACCGGCACTTCCCAGCCTCACCATCCCCATTTCCAAAAAGCCTCCTGGCACGGCTCCAGCAAAGCCACGGGGAGGACAGCGGCTCCGTGCAGAGCACGGCTGCACCCAGAAGGAGGAGGGAAGCATTAAACATCAGCACAGTCGTAAGGCACCCGGCTGCGTTAGGCTTCAAAATTAGATTTTGTCAATCTGATGAAATATTTTTATATATTCAATATAAAATTTGATGAGAAGCTTTCCCAGCGTAGACGCGGCTGTGGGTTCAGACGTTGCAGAAAGCAGGGCAGGGGATGCTCTCAGGAGAGGCTGTCCTGCTGTGGCGTCTGGGCCATGGGCATCATGGTAATAAGGTCCCTCCTTGGAGCCATCCTCAGCATTAAGGGCAGCGTGGCTGACAACACCATTTCTGCAGGTGTGTGGGCAAGCAGCACTTACACCCAGCAACAGCCAAAGCAGGAAGGTGATGACCATGAGATGGCAGCAGACAGGTCCTTCCCCTCCTCTGTGAGCACGGTGGGTGCTATCAGGAGGTCCAAGACCTCTCCAGGGCTGCCAGGCAGGGCCATCACCAAACCACAAGGAATTTCAAGAGCCGCTGTGGTCAGGAGGAATGATCATGCTTGCCTCAGCATGTATCTCCAGGGGTTTTATGAACACAGTGTGGCTTCACTTTGCGTCTTACCACCGTACGGTGAAGTCAAGAGTCAGTCCATTTTACAGATGGGACAGCAGAGGTTCATGAACCTGAGCAGCTATTTCTGATGCTGTGCAGCACAAGCTGTGAGAAGGTCCCTGAAGTGCCAATTTCCCAATGCTTATGCTGCCTTGGCAGTGCTGACATCCAGAAACCAGAGCTTTATAATGCCAGAAACTACCCCTGAGCCCTACCCACAGCTCAGATAGGTACGCTCTGTCAAGATCTCACCAGCCATGTGGTATTGTCTCTTCCTCTTTGTCATAAACTTAAAACTTCAGCCTATTGAAAAGTTATCAATATATTGCATCTTCCCTATTACAGGAAACTCATAGTTTCCACAAGAATTATTCTGAAGGTGGGTATCCCTCAGAAAAGCCAGCAGACTACCCACCCACCAGAAGAAGGGGTCTTGGTGTATAGTCTTGGGTTGAGCTTGCCTTTCCCCAACCTTGGCACTACATTTGACTACTCTCTGGTCTTGTAAAGGGTCTGAAACAAATGAAATGGAGTTTTTTGCTCTCACTTTAGGATTCTGTGAGAGCTGATATAGCATCGAGGAGCACAGTGATTCTCCAGGCTGCTGTGCTTCCCAGTTGCTCTGCAGTCAGATGTCACCCTACCCCAGCTGTGAGGTTGCAAGATCTCGCCAAGTACACAACTGTGGAGGAACTCCATATTTTTTGCTCGGGTTTTGGGATGAACTTCTGGTCTCTCTACAAAGGCAAAAAGCTTCCCCCTCTCTTTTTCACCCTTTAAAATTTCCCCCTGCTCTTTTTCTGAGACCTGGGTGGGCTCAGCTGGTCCTTCTACTTGAAGAAGACCACAGAGGCCTCTTCTTCTGCTATATCCACCACCAGGTGATTGCTGAGTGTGGGTTTGCATTTACCATTTTACACCCCAAAAGTGGTTGCATCTTCTTTTCATGAAATTACTTTCATCTCTGTAGGCTTACATGCTCAGAGTACCGCAGGCTAAAAGCTGATCTCAAACAGCAACAGAGCTGCTAATCCTTCATAGAAGTCCAGAAGGGTGGTACTTACACAGGTTTTCGCTTCTTTCAGATACATGGTGGGCCAATTATTTTGTACCTCGTCTTTACAGATGACCTGGAAAGACAGAAGAAAAGCAACTCTCAAATCATTGACATAGGTTGGAAGGACAGTTGGTCACCGATACAACAGACTGCCCCAAGCCAGGAGATATCCCAACCAAAGCTCTGATCCATTTTATGGAAATGAGACAGGCCCAGGAGCCCTTCACTCAACCTTTTATGTGTGGAAAGGGTTTTCACACGTAACTGATGTGGTCGCTAATCCGCTTCCCAAACCAGGCTTAGGATTTGCAGTATAGGGTAAAGCAGGAATTGGCTTGGGCTGTAGGAGGATCCATGCCTGTGGGCCGTGATGCAGTCCTGTCCTACAGAAGACAAGCATCTAGAAACAGAATCCCCTTCCCTCCTTTCTAGCACTGGGATCTTTAGTTATCCTGGCTTGTGTTTTGAGACCCCCTACGCTCCCAAACCATTTTCTGCTAATAACATCCATGCACGGTTGATGCTGAATTGTGGTCTTTGCCCTCTGATCAAGTCCAAGTCCACCCCAAGGCAGCTTCTGCTCTCCGTAGTGCTTCCCTCCCTCTTCCCAAATTTCACTTCTTCCCTTTTCAGCACCCAGACCATAATCCCCTTCACCTCCATCCTCCATGTCACTTCACTGGAAAGCTACAGGAGAAGGGTTGGACTAGATGACCTTTAAAGGTCCCTTCCAACCCAAACCATTCTCTGAGTCTCTGATTCTATGATCTAGAATTATTTTGCTGCCTCATGTTTTCCTAAGGCAGATCTCTCTGACACAGACATGCACAGCAAGAAGGGCTGCAGGCTTTACACGTACGTGGGATGCCATCTAAATATTAACAGACACCACTACGAAGTGCCCACCTTCCCGTAGGCATCATTACCTCATTTTGGAAAGAAGTGTTAGGGTGCTGGTAGTGAGGACTGCTGCTCGCCGTCTGGTCCCCCAGGGCTGGGGCTGATGGCTGTGCACTGGCAGGGCTTTGGTCAGTACTTGCAGGTTTGGTTGACGCAGATCCGGCGTCATGGCTTTTCTGGTCTGGATCCCCAATATACACCAAAAAACAAGAAGACAGACACTGATACAGTATAGAGGATACAGCTGACACAGCTCCATTTGTGAGCAGCTGAAAATAAGTTTTCAGCTCTAGCTCTGCCTTGAAGTTGATTGTGTCAAAGCTTGGAGAGGCTTTGGGTTGTTTCTAATTTTTTTTTTTTTTAATTAATTTTGAGCTGGAAAAAAATATTATTGCTGATTTTATGTTCTGCTGCTGAAACCCATCAGACTGTTCTGGAGAGATGAACCCAAAGGCTATGATGGCTGTGCATCGGTAGATGGGTAATCATTTAAAAAAGGAGTATTGCTGGGTAAATGGGATGGCCCTCATTTCACTTCATCTGGGCTGTCTTCCACGGAGTTTTCTACAACAGAGGTAGACTACCTGAGCTGGCTACGCAGCATCTCCCAGGGAATGGAGTTCATTGTGCAATCCCACTGACAACTGCAGCTGCCTCCATTAGGAAGGGATGAAATGCCATAACCTCTGTTGACTGCATCAGCTATGGAAGAAGAAGTCCAGGGTGTCATGCTTAGAAGTAGTGCCTGGTACTACGGGAGACAGCCTGGGGTGTCCTGCCTGCCTGCTCCTCCAGAAGGGCACATGCCCCACTTCTACCAGCCCCATCCAGGTGTCTCAGATACTTGAGATCATCTCAGATGCCTTTGTTAAGGTCTGTAGCATCTTACAGTTTCTTGTGCAATGGGAGTAGTGCAAGGAGCATAGCAGCCCTCCTGCCTCCCCAAATCCTTTTGAAGAAATGGATCTCCATCTCTGCGTTCCTAACTGATCCTTAAATGGTGACAAAGAGAATTAAAATGCCACATCCTGTTCCTAGCCTGTTTGCTTTTGGGACTCCTGCCTCTCCCACAGAAAAGATGAGCGATATTTTTCTCCCAGACACATTCTGAAGGCTCTAGGAGAGAATTAATTTCAATGTAAAAGTTTTTTAGACCTCTTCATGCTCAATGCTTGAGGTCAAATTTGAACTAACATAATTTCATATATCATCATTTAATGGAGAACAGTCCTGTGGAGTAGAAGGGGAAAGAAACATGAAGATGATACACATTTCACCTCCTCCTGCCTGCTAACATGCTCAAAACATGGCTTGGGTGAAGCCTCTGAAGATGCCTTACATTAAGACCTTGGCCCATTTAGTGATGCTGGCAGCTGGAAGGATGAAAGGGATGGAGACGGTTTTTTGAGTGGCTTCTGTATTGCAGGTAACTGGAAATTGGGTCAAGAACAACATTTCCAGTCCCACAGCATGATTACTTCCCCATAAACACTACCAGACAAAATGCCAACGGGGAGCCTAAACTGTGCTCACCAGGACACTTATGAACTAATATGACTCTGTAAGCTCCAGAGGTCTACAGGAAACATATTAATGGTGTTCAACAGGATCCTAAACACCACACGGACACTCCTAATGCTGCTTAGACAGAAGACAGCAGCCAAACCCCCCACAGCACTGATGAATATCCTACCTAACTGCTTAGACTCTTTAGAGGTTGTAGACTCAGAATTTAGCCACAAAGTCTCCTTAGTCTTCTAAAGTTTATTTTCTGCGCATGTGTCGTGGTTTAACCATGCCCAGACAGCCTTCACTAAGCTGTTAGCCATACTAGGGAACTTCTACAGTTAGCATTTGGGGTGCCGTCAATTTGTTTCACCGACTCTTACAATGTCAGTCTCCACCTCCGAGCTCATCACTGCTGGCTCCCTTTTGCAGTCACTGAAGATCAAGTCATTGCAGTTGATGGTGCTTTGGGCACAGTTTGGTCCATCCAAAAGCCAATGTCTACGCTTTGCCAGTTGATTCATGCCTCGAATTTCACTAACTGCATTGACTTGATCTCCACCGATGACAACAGGGACCTAAACACCCAGTTGTCATGGTGACAACTACACTGGAAAGTCCTAAAATGAGACAAGGTGATGATACCCCATAATGAGAGGAGGTGTTTAGGGTACCAAAGGAAAAGACCACAAAAGGGCTTCCCAGCACAAGAAATCAAGGTTCTTGTCTTCTGGTACCTGCTCCAGGAGTTGACGTGGTGGCTGCCTCTGAGACCTTGTCCATGCTGCCAGGTGACGAAGGCAGAGACGCTTTAGTACTGGTGGGGGACACAGCTCCATCAAAAGGCGTAACAGAAGTATTGATGCTTCCAGGTCTGGTGGAAGAGGCCAGTCCCTGGCCTGGAGAACTGGAAGAAGAGTGAGGCAGCTTGGTGACAAATGTGGGAGAAGAGACACCATCGTCCTTGAGCCCAGGGGTAAGGTTGTTCTTTGGGATGCCGCTGCTCGCGGTCGTGCTGTTCGACTGGTCTGAAGGCTGGCTTGTTGGACCTTCCGTGGTGGAATGGGATGTGGCATCAGTCCCTAAACCTCCTGAGGTGGTTGCAGAGCTGTTCGCAGGAGTGAGGACTGCACTTCCAGGAGTGGTGGCTGCCAAGCTTCCCAAACTTGCTGGAGTGCTAGTCTTCTGCTGGGCAGTGCTGAAGATTGCAGGAGGTTTGGTTGTTGAGGGTCTGGAGCTGGCTGAAGGGATGACCTGCTGAGGCGATGTCGTGAGGGTGGGTACTGGGTTTCTTGGTTTGCTTGTAAGTTTGGTCTCTTGAACTGTGGTAGGTGATATTGCAGGGGTGGGTGATGTGTTTCTCAGGTTGCTTGAAGCGGTGGTGCTTTGACCAGTGCTGTGTGGTCTCTCAGAGGTGAGCGGTGAGTTTTCCGGCTTGCTTGTGGAGTTCATCCCTTGAACTGTAGCAGATGGCATCGTAGGGGTGGATGGTATTTTTCCTGGATTGTCTATAGGGGTCTTGCCTTGCACCTTGTTGCTGTTTGTAGTTGTGGTGATCTGCCCATTTTCTCCTGGGTTTGCAGATTTCGTTGTAACACCCTGAGAGCTGTCACCTAGGGAAAAGTTAAAAACGCCAAGATAAACTTTGAACTAAGGAAACTACCCTTGGTTTCCACCCAGAACAGGTATTTGTAGAAATAAATGCTGACCAGAAACTATGAGTCATTCACTCAGGGCTTGTCTCACGCTCTCTAAACTCATACCAAATGCCGTGTTCTGGTATCACCGAGTCAAGCAGAAAGCAGAGCAGAGGAGGAGGAGGAAGAGTCAAACTCACAGGACTTCAAAGGGGTTGGGCAAGACCTGCTGGTTCCCAGAAGGCAGGTCTCCCTCGCATGGAAGGTGCACCAGCTCCCGTGCAGAGCTCTGCAAGTCATTCCCAAAATAAATTACGTCCAGCCCTTGAAAGGGAGCAGCCAAGGGATGCGCCTAGTGCTGTCTGTCCAACCCTGTTATGAGGGTCTCTCATATCCCTGAAGTGGTGAGGAGCCTCAGATAAATAAAGTGATGCTTCTGACCGTTCTGAAAGTTATATTCTTTTTGCAAGCTCAAGCTCTGTTTCTTTAATTACTCATATTTCAACTTAGGGTTTTTTTCCCTCCCAAACTCAGATAATTACTATAAAAACATTATAAAATAGGCACTCTCACTTGAATCTACAGAACCAAACCACTGAGAGAGGTGAGACACTGGAGCACGTTGCCCAGAGAGGTTGTGGCTGCCCCATCCCTGGCAGTGTTCAAGGCCAGGTTGGATGGGGCTTGGAGCAACCTGGTCTAGTGGAAGGTGTCCCTGCCCATGGCAGGGGCGTTGGAACTGGATGATCTTTAAGGTCCCTTCCAACCCAAACCATTCTATGGTTCTATGAAAATGTGTACACACTGAAATTCCCAGTTGGGTGAACTGTGGAAACAACATTTATTCTACTTGCTCTGAAAGAATGGGTCAACACTGGACAGAATTTGCAAGTAAATATGAAAAGCATTTACTTGAAGCTGCGTTATTTTAATTTTAAGGATGTTCAGCTCAGCTGCGCATTGCAAATATTATCACCAATGTGCAATCACATACTTGTTTAGCTGATTATTTTACTATTCTGAAAAGCTTGAGAAAGTCACATAAAAATGTTTAAAGTCAGTGTTCAATTTCAAAGGAAAATCTTAAAAAAAAAAATCAAAGGTTGCATTTAGGAAAAGGAGAAGCAAGCCAGGAAAAGGAAGGGCTCCATCTACACATACCATGCAAATCCCTAATGCCACCACCTGAACTGTGAAATTCCCGTGTGTTTTTCCATGGTTTTTAGCCTGCATTTGTACATCACATAGAAATGCTGCTATTATCATGGCTTATTTGTTTTTGAGGAAATCCATGAAGTATTTCACTAAGAGCTGACATTACCTGAGTGGGAAGAAAACTCAAGTCTCAAAGCAAAAAGGGTTGTCCATTGCTCAGATGTCTCACATTACCATACATAAGGAGATCTGCAGTTGGTTTCTGAATAATACTTCAAATTTTCAAATTGTGAAGCTGTTTCTCAGTGAGGGATGCAGCTGAAGGACAGCTTGCCTGACAAAAGTAACCTCTCCAACAGCACACAGCTCTCCAACGTCCCACAATGCTAAAACGTGGTATGTTCACTAGCAGACTGGTATAAAAACTTGGGTCTATTTTTCTGTTTGTATTCACTGCAGGAGGTCCATCAATTGCCACGGAGATAATTTCCCCCCCCCCCCCCCACACATTTGAGCCACCAGCTCTGGGCTCTTGCTCAAATTCACCCCAGGAAAGGTTCAACCAATTTTTTACCTTTCAAGAACCATGGGCTGCACTGAGCCACTTCATCCGTGGATCTGTCTGGAGTCAAGACAACAACCTGATTTTGGGGTGTGGGGGGGGTGTTGTGTGTCTCTTCCATTTGCTGACTGTGCAGAAGAGGGCTCTTTTTTTTTTTTCCCCATGAAACACTTGTATTATTTCCAACTCTCCAAAACAGGAGTCACACTTCCACACTTCCAGGGTTTGATTTTTAGCCATATCCTAATGCTGTTCTCCAGAGATCTGCTTCGTTCCCCTGTGCCGGCATACTGACAAAGTATTTTCTCTTACAGAGCCTGTTTATTAGTGCTGGTTATGCTTCAAAGATCTGATGAAAGCTCAAGTTTCTGAGATTCATACTGCTGGGGAAATCTAACTCCACCATGTCAGGACCTGGTGTGGTGGAGATATGTTTGAGACAGGAACTGGGGAGTGGGATTTGGGATGAGGAGGCTGCAACAGGTTTGGGGTCCCACGGAAGCTGCCTGGGAACAGGGTGGGTTTGGAGGAGGCAGAGGAGCTACAGCTGGGCTCTGCATAGGCATCTGAACAGGGAATAGAATAGAACATAACAGAATAGAACAGAACAGAACAGAATAGAATAGAATATTTTCAGTTGGAAGGGACCTACAACGATCATCTAGTCCAACTGCCTGACCACTTCAGGGGAAATGCAGAGCCAGGAGATGTGCAGACCCCCTCCTGAAACACGGTTCCTATTCCTGTTTCCCCACCAGCTGCTGGGAGTAGCCATTTCTGAAAACACCAGTAAGATGTGAGTTTAACTGAAACTAGCAGTATGAATTATTTTAGGAAACCCTGGGCTTGCGAGAAAACATCTCCACTACATCTGCAGGAAAAGAGCTTTTGTGGACATAAGCCATATTTCCTATAAACTGACCACTGTCTGCAGGAGAAGAAGAGGTAAGGAAGGAAAACACAGGCATGGAGACCTAGCAGATGAAACCCAGGTGCAAAAGATAGGAGGGATTTTTCATGTAGCCACCTCCTCAGTTGTATTATCAACTTGTCTGGCTTGAATCCTCAGTGATGGTTGCACCAAGCTACAGACCAGGCATCCAGTTAACCACAAAATGGGTCTATCCCATAAACAGGGCTGTAAAAGTTTGACAGGAGTTTTGACAACAAGGGAGGTAAAAAAAAATATAAAAAATCCTTTAAAGGTAGAAACAATACAAAAGAGACGTAAATAAAGAAAGGGTCGGAAGGAAGGTGGAGGAAGTCCCCCACTGCTCCTGCTTCCTTTTCATGCCCCGTCCCCGTCCCAGAGAGGCAGGAAGCAAACAGGCACCAAAGGAGAGGTAGAAAAGACAATTCAATTCAACTTGATCCAAAAGAGAAAGGGGCAGGTCCATGCTTTGGCTCTGGGCCAGCCTCGGTGGCCAGCTAGGACCCCACAAGCCAAGAAATAGGTGTCCCAGCCCCATCGCTTCCTCATCCCACCCCGAGGAGCTGCAGATACATTTTTACCACTTCTAGCAAAAACTGGGGGAAAAAGCCCAAAGCAAGAGGTTGCTCTGCTGATGAAGAAAGCTGGTGTGATCCTCCAGGCTTGCCCTGGATGGGGTGGTAGGAGGGCTTCTTTCAAGGGACACAGGGTGACACAGCCCAAAAAGCAACCAGGAGAAGAACCAAGACTCAAGTTGATGCCCACAAAGCTTACTAGCATTTTATCTTTCCATAGGTCTGCATCCACTCTTAGCTCTCCTGCTAAGGTCAAGAGATGTTAAAAGATCAATTTATTCTTCATCATTAAGCCAGGCCCAGTGATTCAAGTGGGCTCAAAGCAACTTGAGGAGCCAGCACACTCCTGCTTGGAAGTGGTGAGCCACCATGCAGGGGGATGGATGGATGGATGGATGGATGGATGGATGGATGGATGGATGGATGCATTCAATGGGTTCTGACCATGTGGGCAGGTAGGACACTATCTATCCTACTATATGGGCCTGGCTGAGGTCAGGCAATGCTAAGTGCCACAGAGGTAGAAATAACTCTCCTTTGGTGGGTAATGACCTGCATCTCTTTGGCAAGTGGCAACACAAATGATGTATGAGCCAGAAAGCACTTCACCACACCATTCCCTCCCTACAAACCTGCTCTTGCTGCATTGGGCTGGATGGGACCACTAGGAAGCCCTTTGCAAAAGATCTCTCATCCCAAACTTGAGCTGGAGGTGCTGTTTCTTTACTAACCTCCATCCCAGCTCAGCTGGGTTGCTACAAAATTTTCACTTTCCTCCTTTCTTTTTCCACAGCCGGCTTGTCTCAAAGCAGACTATTTTGAAGGATTACTGTTGCTGGCTGAAATGCAATGGCTGTGGTGAACAGCAGCCACGGAGATGGCCACGAGAAAAGGAAATCCAGGCAGGTTGCAAACGTGACACTCTTCAAGACAACGTGCACTCCAGTGGGCCAGACCCACAACATCCCAGAGGAGAGAAGCCACAGCTACAGCTGGGTGAGATCCTCCTTCCACAGAGGACCAGCACCCTTATCCATCCCCATGCCTGTCCCACAGATTTTTGGGCACCCATCTGTCGGTGAAATTTACCTTCTCTCTCCAGTTGCATTAAATTAAACTCTTTTCTCACTGCTGGTGCACAAGGAGCCAGATGCTGCAGTCGCGGGGTTGCACACCTTTCTGCAGTTTTATTGCTCTGGGCTTAATATTAGTTGTTTGTCCAGGGACTGTCTCACTGCAGCATTGGGAAAAAAATGTGGTTTTTTTAGACTGAGGAAAAATAAATTGCATTTTTTTGGTGTCTTGCAGGTTTACCACCTGCAGGAGACCTGGCTTATGCAAACTCATTGCTCTCATTTTCAGAAGCCTAGCAAATAATTCCAAAGCAGAAACAAATACAGAACAACCAGCAAGAGCACTGCAAGCCCAGGAGTCTCTGTTTTCCTTCCACACATGCTATATCTCTTTCAAATGCCAGAGAACTATTTTTTTATCTCTTCCTCCCTAACTGGCCACCCGTGCCAAATTGCGGCGGCGGACCTGGGGGTAGTAACTGGTAATGAGCCCCTGTTTGCCTGGGCTGGTAGCCAGTATTGCCTGACAACTGTCCTCAACAGAAGAAATGAAAAGGATCTGGTCAAA